ATAGCAAAAAAATGTCCAAAAAAATCACTTCCACTGTTTATCTCTCACTTTTGCGCGATACTGGAAATCATTCTGCCAGCTGATGTAGAAATCAACTTGTGGTAGCAGAATTGGGTAACCATGCCAGAATTCACTTGCGTCTCCAGGCAAGGATCTATTTCTGGATCGTAATTGCTTCCGTTCGTCGGTTAGGCTGAGACCTGTGAACCCTAATAAGGCTAGAAACCCTTCAGCGAGAAAAGACTCCCTGTGAAGGAGATCTGTCACTCAACGGGCATGGATAAAACATATGAAAACGTTTCACTGGATGAAGCAAGAACTAAGGTAGGTCCTCTTCGCTCCTACTGGGTTTAATATATCCATGCGCGAGCTGTAGGAACACACGGTCTAAGTCGCAATGCTCCGAGCATTGAAGTGATTTTTTNTTTTTTGCATTTGGTCCCAAAGAATCGAAAACGATCTTGCTTCTCTATTGCCAAGGTCAATTTTCACATTTGAACACCCTGCAAACCGAAACCAGCCTATCCTATATGAATCTGCCTCACGCCACTACGATCTAGCTCACTAGTCTACTGGAATAAGAGAGCGAATAAGGAAGCTATTGACCTTGAAACCTGTCTCAGCTTTTTTTTAACCAACTACAGCGCTGGAACTAAGTCTTCGCAAATGGAGAAAAACTGTAACGGAGCAGTCTCAGGTGGGCCGTAGATTGTGACCCTTTGATAATCCCTTCCAAAGTCGTATGAGCAATTGACATTAAACGTTTTTTCACAGAGCTATTCACGCGGATCCCTTCCTCAAATGCTTTTAACTCTCCAGTTCTGTACGGTGGAGATTTTCCATCATTCCGATCTGCTTATCTCGGCTCTTGCTGAATGTTGACATGTTATGAACTATAATATTAGGTTGATGCATAATTATTGCGGATTTTTTCGTGGCTTTTTTTCTCTCGATAGAATTTGAATAATGAGTTCGAGTTTTTTCTAGAAATGATCTACTTGATTTCCTCTACAAGAATATACTCAAGAAACCATCCGCATATTCGCGAAATCAGGCTTTACTACTTCGAGAAAGATTGGAAGATGGCACAGTCATTCCGCGATCTCAGTAACTTTTCAGCGATCGTTCATTAGGTGATCTAGTGAAAGTACACATGATGTCCTGGTGGTCAAACACGGTCAAATACGGTCAAACATTTTGATATTTCCATTTCCCTGCATTTTACCTGCCTTTATATATTAGGCTGATGAATAATTATTGCGGATTTTCCCAGCAAATTTTACTTAAAGAAATTACAGAAATACTAAGCAAAGACATATTCAAATAATTACTCCGGAACTTATTTACCATCTACGTCAAGCACTGCTTCCCATTGATTAGTTAGTCGGATCCCAAAAGCGAAGAATTTTCGATCCTTACGGGCGATCCACGCCTTGACATCGGCCATCAAGTCATTCAAATCGACTTAACTTCTATTCTTCAGCCATTTTTTCGATGAACGGTTGACGAGATAATCCATAAAAGTTTCTGCTGGTGAGTATGGAGATTTAGGGGCAGATCCCATTTCTTGGTTGGTTCTGGCTCATTGTTCGATCGCCGAAAAGTTACTGAGATCGCGAAATGACTGCGCCACCTTCCAATCTTTCTTGAAGTAGTTAAGCCTAAGTTCGCGAATATGCGGATGGTTTTTTGAGTATATTCTTGTAGAGAAAATCAAGTAGATCATTTCTAGAAAAAACACGAACTCATTAGTCAAACACTTTCGGTAGAAAAAAAATCGCGAAAAAATCCGCAATAATTATGCATCAACCTAATAGTATGCCCCTTTGATTTCGCCATCTTCTGAGTCTGAGAGCTTTATCTTCTCCTTGTTGGTAAATCGAGAAGTAAAAGAATGAAGTCCAATATCCAAAATTCTCTTTGCTTCAATAAGCCATTTTAAACCACTTGGCTGCACGAAAATCAAAAAGAAGACGAAGACCGTAACTTTCTATAATCAGAGGTCAGGCCGTTAAGGAAGCACTGGCACAACTTGTCGATCTACACCCTTAGCGAAATATTGAGACCCATCAGAGAGAAGGACTTTTGATGAAATCGAGTTCCCTTGAATTTCAGTGACAAATACGAGAGCAAGGCGCATCCACTACTCAACTTCAAAATGAGGACACACTTCCTTTTTTTGCAATTTCCTAATGGGTTGATAAATTAGGTTTTTTACCAGAAACTGAAAGTGTTTTCAGGTATCACAGGACAATGAACTTCAGTCAAGTACTATATCAGTTAAAGTACCGCTCTCGACTGGAGAATTGATATTGTGAGTTGAACATGGAAAGAGCGGCAACTAAGTGGCCAACCGAACTCTTATCAAGTAGAGCTGCTGCTGATCGGATTACCTGCAATTGCTCCAAATTCAGGTTTAACGGAGACCGGATCACTTTATGTTGCTAAATATTGGATGGTTAGTAAGCAAGTCATTGTGTTTTGAATACAAGCTAAATGGCCAATATAAACCACATCTGGAAGTTTCCATGAAATCGCCATTTGAGAATTCGACCCACTTTTACGGGCGTCACCTATCCGGCTCCCTGTTACTTGCTCATTCAGTGCTCTAATGCCCAACCTGTCCCATCAGACACATACAGTTTTTAATTCACGAACTCATATCCGACCCCTCCACAGCTGAAGCTCATCAAAACTTATGTCAAGTATTTGGCCTCGATGCCTCCTCCATGCGTTTCTGGCACGACCTATTGCACACCTCCAAAGCCGAAAACAGGGAGGTAGCCGGTCTAGTCTCGATCTGTACACTCACTCGCGATATCACGGGATTTCAGTATTGTATGTCATGTGCATTCAGTTGAGTGGTGACTTTTGATAAATCTTGAATTGCTTGTTAACATTCTGGAGGAATTCTAGGAGAATGTTAGAATGTAGAGGATAGCAATTTTCGGAGTTTTTTTTACTATTCTGGACTATAACTTGCAGTGTTCCACTGAAGCTTGATCACTCGGGGTAATTGGGACCTGTGCTTTAATTTTCATAATAATATTTAGATCCCAGAGCCCAGTGACTTCTGCACATCAGTGGCCCACAAGCACCGGTGCACTTCCTCTTGACTGCATGCAATTGCGTCCCTTGCTGCATGTGTATGTGGGAAAAGCACTTCAATAGATGTTCTCCTGCGCCGGACAGGTTACTGTTTTGACGTGAAGTGCTTGTTGTTGTTGTTATCCTCAGTGAGCATGCACACAACGGCCGTGTCGTTACCACCCAGGCAAAACGGGGATGAAAGGCAGTCGCTGTCAGTTGCCTGGAGAGGGACTAATCGGAAATTGTCTCAGAAATCCAAAAATATGCATAATTTCACATATGTATGTAGGTGCTAAATAACCATGCTATGCAGGGTAATGGAGAAATGATTCGCTCAACCGAATTTTCAACTGGACAGCAAATGATGTAGGCAGTTGGGAGCTGAACTTGTTTATATAAGGGAATGTTCTGGGACCGTAAGGTATGCTCCCCCTAACAGGGAGGGTCCCCTTCCCGGTAAGGTATGCTCTCGGAGAGAGCAGAGAGATAGATGCCGCAGAGAGAAGAGAGACCTGAATCGAGGCGTCCCAGCCCCGAACAGGAGAGCATATCTACGGCCCCTGCACTTTGGAAATCCCATATAAGGAAAAAGGAAGTTCTTATCTGTCAAGAAAGACAAGGGATTCCTAATATCTTCAAACGAAATGCTTTCCACGGAAGGGTAAGCGTTAGGATTTCTAAGAATCATTCTCAAATTTATTTGGGAATTTGTGGTCGAGCATAAATGTCTATGCGAGATCTGTGCTCTTACAGTGGACTACTTGAAGGCACAGCTCACAATAATTTTGGGGTACCCTTTTCAAGTTGAAATGCGGAAGTGTTGATGTAGTGTAGCGCATTGACGGCGAAAAGAGCGAGAAAATTTGCTTACTTCGTGAAAAATAATGCTTTTTAAAAGCGTGGAGATTGAGGTTGTACTGGATAACCATGACGGAAATGGCATGGTCACAGTCATTGCGATTGCGTAAAGAGCTCATTTTTTCAAGTCAGAATGTCCGAAACTGACCTCCACTATCATCGGCCACTAGCCCATCGAGGGTGTCCCTGTGACTGGTGCAGCGTTCACAACACCATTGAAACCCGTCCGCTACGGGTGTGGCATTGAACCGATACAATCTCTGTGACCTCATAACGATCTATGTAGGTCGCTTACAGATCTGACAGTCCACCTATAGTTCACTGGAACGCCACTGTTTCATCAGAGGGATATTCTCAGGAATCTATTTTATCGTGAACGGTCCCTTAAAGTAACCAAGGTTTAGTTGACGCTCAGTTCCCAGAAGAGACAAGCTAATTCAGTCCATAAGCTTTAATGGTTCTCATGGTAGATGTACCAACGATCTTATCCAGAATCAGCTGTCGAGAGCTACGAATTCTACCTTAGTATACCATGAACTTGTGCTATTTCAATCAGAAAACGGGGCCATCGAGCGTTCTCACCTCAAAACTCTGCCAAGTTAATGTTTTGCTTGTGATTCACCTTTTTTTAGCAGGATACGCTACTGATGACGCATAGAATTTCTACCTATTGATATTGACACTGTGGGTCATCTCTGTCTGTCAACGAGCTGGATTGTCTGTGACTAGTGAGAAACATTCAAGCTTTATTTTAAACCAATGTGCTAGAATCAATTCTACTCACGGAATATCGTATATACACTCTCTACGTGCTACAAATACATTTATATTAAAATCATCAATGCTGAACCGGTAGAGTGAAATATTCAAAGTGAAATTAGAGGGATGGTAGCAGCCAGATTATAAGTCGTGGTAAGTTCAAGTGAGTTGTTCAAGGCGCTGTGGAGATCCGTAGGTGTATTATCGTTAGATTGACCGGAATTCGCTGCTTTCTCATTACTAGATGTCGATATTAGGGGTTAGTATGAGGGTGTAGTTAGTGATAGTCGAATTCAGTGACGGAAAGTGGACGGATCGTCGATTTGGAAAAACGGAGTGTCTTGTTTTTTCGGGAATGTGTCCTGAACAACGACAGCGCCAACCTGAAATGGTTGAAGGAAGAATCGTGTACAACACTTGCAAGTTTTGAGGCTTTCATTCCTACTATTCCGAACAAGCAGTGAATTGTTGAAATTGTTAAAATTACTGAGTCGAAGTTACAGAATCAATTGGTAAAATCAAAAAGCATAAAGAACGATACCAAACCGTTTTCGTTGGGAACCGGGTCATTGGAACTTTTTTGATGGGACTGAAATTAGCGATACAACTTCTTTCTCGAGTATTGAGAAAAGATTTCCCACGAAAAGGTGCAGAAGCTATCTAATCGAAGGCGAAATGACCACTTAGAATTCAGCCTTTTACTGCCTATTACTTTGTGCCAAGCTGTACCTCAGAAGTTTGCCTATTTTCCCCATACTTACATATTTCAAGTAATCCGAATTCAGACGTAACCGTTGATAATGAAGTTCAATAGAAAGCGTAATTCGAGATACCGTGGCGGCTTTTTCTGAA